ACGGCAAATTGAACGCGCGTGAAAGGAGGGACCGGGTTTATTGTTATCTCCGCGGAGCCGTCATAAAACAGCTAGTGAAATTGGCATAGAGTCTTCCGCGTCCTATGAAGCATCAGCTGTACTAGACTTGGTAATTCCCGTTAATTATCGAAACTCGCGTGAGGTGAAAATATGTGATTATCGAGAGATGTAGATTATTGAAAATAAATCATGGAAATTATAGGAATTACACATGTAATGATATATAAAGAATATCGCTCGCTTTAAATAAATTTGCTAACATATAGTGTAGAAAATATAAACATGTGATGTAATATAATTATATATATAGTATATGTGTATATATATATATAATATAAAATGCAATATTTTTCAAAAACAAATTCCCTAGTATAGTCAATAGGATATGCACAAAATCATGACGTCGAGGTGAGGCGCCAAATGTTTATACTTTTATTTTTTTTTTCATATAAAAATTTGTACTTATTCTACAATAGTTATATTAAAATGTGCAAAAAGTTTTAAAATGATAAATATCAGTTCTTCCTTTCGAAAAAACGACTACCATTTTTTCGGTTGCCTAATGGAGATCCCCTAAGTTTTAAGACGGTTTTAAAACTTAAATATACAGGGTGTCTCAGAATAACCGCCAAATATTTCGTGTGCTGGTAAAGCGGACTAAACAGAGGATGCACACAGGCGCTTGTAAAATAACAGAAATAATTAGCATCATGACATCTAGACTAAGCGCGAGAATATAAAAGATGTAAAAACAAAAATAACCAGCAAAAGTTGATAATACTTGAGTAAAATATTATTGAAAATTAATATTCGGCGATTTTTAGTAATTAATATCTTGTTAACTATTGCGTAAATTGCAAAATGCTACAGGATTTTTCGATTCAGTTTAATCCGTTCTATCATACGAAATATAATATTTGGCGGTCAATCATTCTGGGACATCCTGTATACAAAAATTATAGATACTGGCCATTGACTGTATAATTTTGTTATTAACACTCATTAATAACAAAAGTTAAGAGGCATCACTTGAACAAATAAATAATGTTTGAAAAATATCTTCTTTTTTTTTAATTTTTGTTATATTTTTAACTACATTTTACATTTATGTGTGTAATTTAAAATGTTCTAGAATTATTGCTCTCGTAATTGGCTTAGATGAAATGTTTTGATGAAAAAAAAATAATTGAGCATAAATTTAGATAATTAGATAGTTTGAAATCAAGAGACTGTAGCTTTTGAAAAGAATTACTTGCATAATAGTTTCCTTTTCAAAAGTTTTGTTTATGATAGTTTTAATATAGAAATAAAATATATTAAATGAATACACAACTCTTC